CCGAGGAAAAATACGAGGGACGCAAAGATATGCTCAATGGATAGGAGTAACAAGTTATTGCCTAGACAGTGAACATCAATACAGAACAAAAACAAACAGCACATTCATAAATACATCCCTGAAGAAGGAATAGTGGTTAAAGTACAAGTGAAACCGTGCATCGGGGAAAAGTGCGCGCAATGTTTGGAGCCACAGGTGCGAGGAGCGGCAAAAACTGGTAGGACTTCTTACAACCTGAAAGGTAAGCGAAAGGATTTATTTTTATCANGATGATAACGAAGAAGATAGGTGTGTATGGAACCGGTAACTTATATTTTATGGGTAATTACTTACGGTGGACGGGATTTTTTCGGAAGCCAATGCAAGTATCTCGATTAACAACTTGGTCATTCTGAAGCGACGGAAATCAGATCGTATCCGAGACACAACAAGAAAAAACAGATTTATAGCCAAAAGAGAAGATAATCCACTACTTCAAAGAAATGATTTATTAGGACAATATCAGAACTTGCTGCTGTTACTGGCAACTGGGAAACATTGTACGTGTCACGACAGTTTGACAGAAACCGAATCAACAGAAAGAGAAAGAATCAGAGGATGACAAATGGATTCGTGATACGTAACAATCTTTAACCTAACTTAACGAGTATTTATTTTACAGCCAGCTGAAGAGAAGCATGATGCTAACGCAATAAGAACGACAGTGGAATAGAGGGGTTTGTGGGTATAAATGACGTAAATTGGTTCGAGAAGAACGCTATGCGATTTAAACATTCCTATCTTCAATTGACCGCTTCATCTAAATGGGCAGCCATCGAAACCGGCGCACGAAAGTGCATATGTACCGGTTGTACAAACTGAAACTGGATATACTTTATGCGCTGACCATACAAATTTTTATATTTCGCTGTTGTTCCCTACGGTTTACGAAAGTTCAAAGGGACAATTTATTTATTCCACTGTTCTTAACTAGCGCATTTCTTGAATCTCAACGAGGGAGGGGAAAAGTAACTACGAAAGCTAACTTCATCATGTTTAACGAAAAAATAACAAATTATGAAATATCAAACTGATGGGTGAGAGTATGCTGGACGACGGGTTGGTTGAAGACACTTTGGTCGAAATGTTTATCCTAATCAGTAGACAATGAAAACATTCCCACTGGAATAACATGCAGAACGAATTCCTGCGCACTTAAAAGAGTCAAACAAATCTCATGTTCCGGAATACTACGCAGGCGTCCAGGGTAAAAATTTGAAAGGAAATCAATTGCTTCGGATGGAAAAGCTGCTTCTGGCCCATGGGGGAGGAGGCCGCCAATTTATTTTTATTAGAAAATCCCTAACTGCTCACCTGCCATCACGACGGGACTGCACCTTGACGTAGTGTGATGGCTTGAGTGCCGCCATGACCCTGCGTGCTACACATGATGGCTCCTCACGGTGGCAGATCCAATCATGCCCGACAGATCAATGGGTAGAGGCCAGACACAGTTCAGCCTCACAAAGCCAGCTGTTTGGACACCTGGCTTCGTTTTGACTATCCACTCACATCCCTGGAGAGATCATTCCAGCAAATAAACACGGGGAGAAACAGTGCTCATAAATGGACGTGGGGCTTCCTCTCGATGGTGAGAGAAGTCTTCACACTTCATTGGACAGCTACCGCCCACCCACCCTGGGCAGCCCCCAGCCAATAAGGTGCTGTCCCGTCCACGTTCCGCTTGTCTCATAGGGTGCATGAGGCTGAGGGCCGATCCCGGAAAGCGGACCGATAATCAACGCACCAGCGAACACAATTAATCGAAGTTCAAAGTTCTTGCGTGACAGGTCTCCAGAAGGTCCCATCGGGTGCTTCGTTCACGCTCTGGCGTTGGATTTAGGACCCCACTGCCTTGTGGATCAAACTTTTGACTTGAGGGGTTCCCAAAGAAAAAACACTTCTTCATTAAGGGCTATCGCGAAGTACGTCGTTCCAGTTCTCACTCCCAAATCTTAGGAGGTGCATCCTGTTTGCGCCACCCATGGGATATCATCCAGCTCCCAACTAATAACGTCAAACACTCAAAAACCATCCCATTTTTGAAACCAAAATCTCCTTTTCACTTAGCCGCATTTAACGAGATCAGTCAACAAGCTGCCTCAGTTAGGACCCTTAAAACTTGAAATTTAGATGTATGCTGTGTCTCCGAAACACGCATACAAGACGCTACAATCATCAGATTCGATCTGATCTCTTGGCTTTACTCTCCGTGTGTCAGATGATTCGGGATCCGAAGCTCGCGGTGTTGCTAGTGTCCAGATTGCACTAAGTGTCAAGGTCGAGCGTTCACTTCTCGACTGGGTCCCGGTTAGTAACCAACTTCGCAGTGCACGTCTGGATGATTTATTACGGGTCAACAGATAGAGAAAGCAGCTCATTCGTCGTGTCCTTGTATGCACCGACTGATTGCAGTTTATCAGAAATGAAGGAGGAATTCTACAAGGACCTCTCTTAGCGGCTCCAAAATGCTCGATCAACGGACATCGTGGTAATCGCTGGAGACTTCAATATTCAAGTGGGATCCCTGGTCAAATCAGAAAGGCTACCTGGTGGTTCACATGCAATCCCAGCTAACCGGACGGACAACGGAGAAAGCCTACTTCAACTTTGTGCTGCCCACGGACTGTTTCTGTCAGGCACCAACGTCTCGCGAAAGAAACGACACCGCCTTACTTGGAAACCTCCCACCTCTTCACAGCGCTGGACTCAAATCAACCAGATTGCCATCAGCCACCGCTGGTGAGAATTCATTGAAGACTGTCGCTCCTACAGGTCAACACTCGTGGACACGGACCGTGGTTTGCTACGAGCCAGATTCTCATTGAGCCTAGTAAACAAGCACAAAAAAGCCAAAGAAGACGGATGCACACAATACAGTATCAGCAATCGTTACAAATCGGCGTTCGACGCGGAACTATCCAATCGTCTTTCAGTTCAACCATCCGCCGAATAACTTAGTGAACACTGAACGGCAATGAAGGAAACGATTCGAATGTCAAACAAAACAATGGCGGATTCTGGCGTACGACCGAAGCAAAAACGAGGGACCTTCTCTACCTCGGTTACCCTGCTGGGCGGTTGCAAAGCCAGTCCTTCGGATGCAAAATAAGGCAAAGTGCGCAAATCCCTTAAATTCCAGCTCATCAAGAATCAGACGTGGTGGATAGAGACGTGTAGAGAGATGGAGAAACCTGCGGATGTCGATAACAGTCGTAATCTTTTTCGATTGATTAAGAGTACGCGTAAGTGAGGTAATTAATAAGACCGACGGTACATTGATTCACATTCAGCAAGGCCGTCTTGAACGATGGGTAGAATATTTTATGGCACAGTTCAGCTGGCCCTCGTGAACATCACGCAGAAACAGGTATCGGATGGAGAAAAGTCAAGGGTGGTCAAACTAAGACCTGGCATGAGAGTATGCAAGCCCTACTTAGGAGACTGGGTCAAATAGGCTCCCTGGATGGGGACCTCGAGATCATGGTAACCGGTGGTTAGAGGCTGAATGATATGGCTAAGTGTCACAAACTGTGGCGCTCCTGCATCTTGCAACCACAGTCTATATGAATTGTCGGACTTCCCCCTAAATTTGCTCTCAGCATTCTTATGTTTATTCTGCTCTATTATCCAAATTGGCGGCCAAAACAGAGCAACCAAAACCGGTGCACGAACGTGCATTGTTATTGGTTGCAAACGCTGAACGGAACTAAACTAAACTACTCATCCAGATCACGTGGAAAAGTGAAATAACCGTAAAAAATCATCAAAAAGAAGATCTTTCCTGCGGAAGAGTAAGTTGGTAGACAGCAGAGATCAACGTTGGTGGTGGTACAAAGGGTCTGTTCCACAATCATAATGAATAACTGTTTTCCAACTGTTACGGCGGTACCTTTGACATTTCCCAAGTTGGTAGGTGTACCAGTGCTCAGATCAGATTAAGAATACGTCTCGAATACAACTTAAATGGAATAGAAGTTGTACCCGAAACGAAAGTTTCGATCACTTCATACGGCATCATGAAAGGATTTTCCATTATAAAAATGGGCACCGATTTCAACTGAAAGAAATAAAGAAGTTAATCGTCGAGTCACGTAGTACTTATATCGTGTTGACCCGAAAGAAGCGTACAGCTTCCTAAATGGAAAACGTGAGAATGTGCCAGAAATATGGTCGATTTTCCGGAATGGAATTATAAATGGATGGATTATTTGTGCCGGATAATCACTTATTTACCAGCTGTGAAGGAAACTGTTGTGGGAAAAGGCGGCCATCTGAGAAACGCTAGCCTAATCAGTCTTGTTCAGAGACATTCCCTTACAATTGGTGGTAGCGCCCTTAATATAACTATTCGTTTGGATAGAGAAGTTCGACCCTAAATTAAGTGTCGGGTTTATTTTCAGCCTGGTACCAAAAATGTGCTCCGTATTGTGGGTCGCTGTGCTCACGACTGCTTTTTTAATCATGAATTACAAAATGTGCCCTTAAGCGGAAACATGGGTAGAGTATAATACCATCGACGGAGACGTTACTTTTGTCTTTTTATTCATATAAAACTTATGGGTCTAAACGTGGACAGGTGAAATGAAATGTACAGTTAATTTTCAGAAAGCGACTGCGGCGGCAACAAAGACTGCCTGGAGAAATGCAGAAAAAGGGAAGCAAGGCGGCGATGGCGCGTTTCGAACTCAGGACTATTTTGATGATCATTGGCGCTTAACCACAGATGAGGACAGACAGGATTCGGTATTTTTTATGTGAGGCACACATCGGACTTGCAGGATTTCGGGATGCTGGATCGGTCTGCAATTAGGGAACATCTCTGGCATATACGTCTGCATTCTGTTCGTCTACCGTGCCTACAAATATCGAGACGATTACTAATACTTTAGGTCCGTTGAGAGCCTTACTTGAGAAACCAAAGAAACACCGTAACTCAGAAAACCGAAACGTATAGTTACCTAATAGGGTGGACGATACTGATGTCTCAACTGGCCATAATACAGTTCGTAGTAAGGATCCCGGTAAAATCCCTGTTGTAATGGAACCATGGGAGCTCGCCGTGGTGGATGGTAGGTAGGAGAGGTGAACATTTCCTGCGGAGGCGCCGGTGGTATACCAGGCATGCGATTGAAAAACTGCATTCGGGATCCTGATGACGGCCACTCTTGTGCTACTGGCATTCGTGCATAAACTGGCATGGGTTGTGCGTAGTATGGAGCAGGATTATGAGGTCCGGGCAAGAATTGCGCTCCATTGATATTATTGAAATTATTGGGTTGACTCATATTTGAACCAAAGTAAGGTAAACAAGGATGTCGCATGGGAAATGTGTTATACGGACCGGCACTACGTGGTTGTGACATCGCTGGATGCGGAGGGAGCCATCTGGGACCTGATATGGAATCTGGGACCACAGGTATTGTTGCATTACGATGGTTTGGTGGAATCTCTGACGACTGCGGCGTCATCATCATTCGATTCTTCTTAAGTTTGGAGTTTGTTTTGGCTTTTGCAACTTTGGGTGTACTTCGAGACGACCACGAAGCTGGGGGCAGAGGTGGTTGTGGCGGACTAGATGTTATGTCACAAAGGAAGGGATCTGAATTGAGCTTGACATCAGAAGCGGGTTCCGGACTTTTTTCATTATTTACAACGGAAATCTCAGCAGAGCTGTTGGTTTGATCGGTTTGGTTTTGCTGAAAATCGACCGCATCTGATGGATTGTTTATCACCAGAGAGAACAATGCATTGAGTTCTGCAAAAAAAGAGTTTAAATAAGGATGAGATTTGATCGAATGACTGGTAAACAAAGCGGGATAAAAATACGGAATGAATGTATTCCGTGTGAAAACCTAAACAAAGCGCAAACAGGGTTTAGGGCATGAGAGTATGAAAGCTTTTTTCTCAACCCATACAGGTATTGACCGAACTCGTGAAACGCGAACAGTTATGCAGGAATATATTTTAGTTTTTCAAGTACAGCCTCCACTGCAATATTGAAATCGGTACAGCCTTCGTTATTAAGGTACAGTTTGCGGTAGTTGGGATAATAAAACTAAAGATTAGAAAAAATGGTTTGGTGTTACACGAAAATTCATTCTTACTAATATCAAATTGTTTTCTCATGTGGAGCTTCATCAGAGTTCATTGGAGTACCCAACTTCTGCAGATAATGCAGCGCAAATATATTTTAGGACGTTAATCTGTTATACAACATAATTTGATCAATCAGATGTCCAAATTGAACTTAGACATGTATGCCTAAAGTTCTCCATAGAATTCTCTGTCATCTAAAACGTATATTAAAGTGAGGAATGTGCGACTCGTTGAATGTTCATCCTGTAATTTCACTATATCGAAACTGTATAAATGACCAAAGCGCTTTTGATGCAAAAACGAAACCAAGAGAGGAAACGGATTAGAGATGCGCATCAATCCTGGGTCTCCGTGGCCGACTGACGCTGGTTATTTAGCGATGGGTCGCAACAACCAAGTCACAGTGTGGGTTATAGACTTATGCGGTGTCTATAGGGTAGAGCGCACAAGTCACAGATATCATCAGGGATCTGCTGATCATCGACGACTGCTAACTCAGTTTGAGCTTACTTTATTCATGGTTAACCATCGGATTGATGGCCAACCCTATTTGCGACCTGGGGATGAACCCCGTGGCGTACAGCTCTACTTTTATGATTTTCATATAACCTACTATTCCCGTGGCAAGAGACTGTCATCTAAGAGCTAAATTTGATACCAGAATTGTCAACATTAAGAGCATAAAGGGACGAAGTTGTCCTAACCAAAGTAATGTAAGCACGATGCATCACAGTTTTGTGCACATAACGTCGTCCTTTAGAATTTAGGGAAACAGAAATCTTACCTTTTAGCTCATCCGCTCGAGAACAAACGTTGACCTGGAAAAGAAAGAAACATGTTTTCGATAAGGGCATCACGTGAACTCAAAAACCAAAGGCACTAGTCGGTGGTTTCATCACAACTCGTCATGCATGCGTGCATGTTGTCCCCATTATCACTTAGCCAGCGCATTTTCCGTTTAGAATCCGAAACAATTATTGCTGAGCTACACAGTTCGATACACGCTATGTATGCCCCAACAAACAGATTGGGGGGCATAGAAAACACATCCACGACAAATAGACACACCGCGAGAAATATGTACGCAGAATTCGGAAGAAGAACCAAGAAGATAGAATAGGAATAATTAGGCTATTGGAGTAGAAACAGTCCCCTTATGATATAGCACATTATAAGGACAGGATAGCCCTGGGTTAAGTAAAACAAACATCAAAATCAAAATAATGGAACAGGAGGTAGGGGTCGAAAATTTGATAGGCCACGTTTACAAACACAACGAATTGGAAAGTGAACAGTATATGTTTCTACCATCATACACCTCAGTGCGAACATCAATACAGTTAAAGCGAACCGCCAAGGGGATTTAGTGTTCCGTTACGGTTGATCAGTGTTCTAAGTCTGAAAGGCAATCCCCAATGGGTTAGTAGATAGTGAATTTATCCAAATCCAATGAGACGTGATGGAGCAAATGTGCATCAGGCATCACTCGAAAGACTACCACTGTATAAACGCGTACAATCAGAAAGATCTGTGAGAACACACGAAAACGTCATGCATCGCATCGACTGAGAACAATCGAAACTGAGTCTTATGCCCTTAGACCACCAGTCGGTTGAGTTGTGTGAGTTGAAAAAACTGGAATGCTGAAAGAAAATGTAGTTGCAAAATGGATTATCGAACAAATTACGATTACACATTGAGGAAAAAACAGGAGGTAAGGACAGATGACCGACGACAGTGGAACTGAATCATAAAATGTACCTGTTAAGACCGAAGAAGTAAAGCTCTCTTCAAATTCCTAGAACACGGGTAATCATCTGTTTCTGGTCACCAACGCTTTTCAACATATAGATTGAATTGAAAGTAAAAAAAGCTTGCCTCAATAGGAGTTCCGTAAAGATTCATTGCTTGGGAAGTAGCTTTTCCATAATTGCATAAAGTTGTGGGGATAGTAGAAGGTGGACTGGATACTACAGGCCAAGGAATTGACTGCTTTGGAAGGTTCTTAAAAGCCCATCGCGGTGTTTGGTTGGCTTTCGGACTTGCTGATGGGGTCGCGTTTGGAAAAGCATCTGGGCGATGATATTCAGAGGTTACAGTTGTCCCAGATACCAAATTCGGTTCACGTTTTCCATTCAACGAAGGCATTGGCGACTGTACAGGAAGTTTTATAAGCAAGGACGAATGTACGACAGCAGAACAAGGTCCCGAACCCCTGGGTAAAATGTGAGACAAAAGTGAGATTAGTATTCGCACTTTAACTGAAACTTCAAATTTCATTTATCAACACAGCAAATAGAAATAGCAAAAGAAAGCAGTGTACCAAAGTAGCTTTTAATGGGCTCATTCCTATTTGTAATCACGACCACACAACACTCTAGGAATCTCACCACTAACTAAAACCGCGCAAATGTGGTAGCACGTATTACTTACCGAAATAACTCAAATAATGGTGGCCCTCTGATGGACTGCTACCTCTGTCTTGAAAATCGATTATTTCATCAAAGGAATAAAAAGTATCTTTATTAACATTATTACTGTTTAATGGCGACAGAGTATTAGCTTCAACCATATGGAAGCAGCACCAGCACGCAATTGAAGAGCCTCGCAAAACAAATGGAAAAAGAACTAGCTCGCGTTCGTTCACTCTTTCTCATGCGAATACAAAAGGTAGTGAAAATCAGGCAATCTCATGCTCCAGTTCTTTTGAAAGTGCTGTAACCGGGAACACCGAGCACTTGCCCATTATTCCCTCTTTTAAGAGCACCCACAGTATTTTTTGCGCTATCTGACACGATATGTCCACGCAACTAGTATTTCTTTTCAGAATCAGGCTTTTCGAGAAAAACACCATAATGACTTTCTTAAACGCTGGTCTGCTTTTTGGCCGAAATCGTACAATACATTGCGAAGAATAATGATATCAACCAGCTATCTAATCTGTTTTTTTAACAGGACCAAAAACGCATTTTAACCTATGACCTATTGCATAATGTTCTCCACGTGACGGTATTTGTCTGCTTTGATGATGTCATCTTCAAATAGACAAAACGGTTTTCAATAACGATGAACTCGGGGGTTCTATAGCAATGGTTGAATAAATGTAAGCTTCAGGATACTAAGATCATTTCGTGTTTAAATATTTGCGAATGGCTGATAGTGGTAATGGAACGGACTACTTAGTTTCTTATCTTCAAGCGGTCAGATAACCTTGGCATGTTTTCACAGCTGGCGGAAACCGAAACGCAAAGAATCATGGAGGATAAAATTTAAGACTAAGCGAAAAGACGATCAGCTGAGACTACCCAAACATGCGCAGACACAGAAAATCTATACTATCCAATTCTTGACAAATGACAAACACTTGATACTTTATCGAATTATGCTGATCGATCTATTTCTTTAGGTGTCTATGAAATCTTTGTCCATTCAGTAAACAATTCACTCAGCAAGCAGTTGTTCTGTATAACCTCACGTCAAGATCACAATGCAAAACAATGGGAAAAATTTACTTAATCGGATCAAGTGAATATATGTAAACAAAGTTGTTGACACACGGTATTTCGATAAGGCCGGTAAAACACGAAAAAGGATAGTAACAAGCTATCTATTTGTTTAGATCGGACTCCGAAAGTGTGTGAAATTGAGCACAGTGCAAACCGTTCACTTGGTTGCGTACCTTTCGAGAACGAATAAGTGAGTCAGGACAGTTCGACTTTGCCTGACACACGTGCAGCCACGTGAGCAGATGACATTGTGGTCAATTTCACTCACCTACGATCATAAGTTTGGAGTCAGATCAGAACTTATCAGTGAGGATGAAAAACGAAAACTTACCGAATATCTGTCGCCCCATCGAATTCTTTGTCGAACATCACTTCTACACGCTCCGTTCCGTCTGAACACAAAAGTAGAGATTGAAGGTTAAAATATTATTAATATGATCGCACTATCTCCTTGTCTCGCCTGTGAATCCGAGTGGATTTTTTCATGAATCTTCTTAAGTACATAATAAAGAATATACACGTATATTTGTGCATCGATAACGACACAGGTTTACGTTAAAAGGCTGGGATGAGTCTTCGAGCACAAAGAGCACGATCCGATATAAATTGTTTTTGTATGACTAATTTGGCGTTCTCGTCAAAAGCTAGTAGTATAACGAAATGGTGGTTCTCGTTCGTTTCTGGAATCATTTATAAATATCGAGTACAATAGTAAAACCGATCGGTAGGAAGCAGCATGTTAATGATGTTCAGGTTAACGGCGACTGTCAAATCGATCTCAAAAGAAGCTTTGAAAGATGAGGCTTGGAACTTCAGGTACCGAAATTCGTGGGATAGTATGAAGGAAAAACGCACCACTACAAGCGCTCAATAGCAATTGATCAAAGTACGCAAACAACCGCCTTAAGATAATCTGTGAACTAATCAGCACATACCTGAAGGGATTCCAATAACAGTTCCAAACAAGCCCATCGGTATGGTTTGCCCGTTCTTACAAAACACAACACGGTCCATTAGTCCGAACGATTTTAGGACCGCGGAACCGAATTTCACTTTTCCGCCATCGTTGAGTAGTAGCTCTCCGGATGGATAGAGGTTGCGTGTTGTGTTGACAGGCTAAATCAATGAGTGAAGGGGGAAAAGGTGATCAGCGTACATGGAAGCTGGGTCGAGTAATGCAAGTGATAAAAGCCACAATTAATCGATTCCAGTTAGTTCGGAATTGTATTCAAACAACAGATTTAACGAAACCGACTAATCAACACAAAATCGCTGTAATGAGATTCAACAGAACACGAGCGAAAAATGAAACAATCAAAGAATAATGGTATATGAAGCAAACTACAACAGAGATCACAGAGAGGACCGATTTCCAATCCAACAGCGTAGACGAAAAGTACGGTAGCCATTGAGGAAAAAGTATGCTAAGGGATGACATCAATGTTTGGAAGAGCCGCAGAAGAATGTTTGTGGTGTGTGTATGTGCACGGACGGACGCTCATCATCCAAATTGGAACTTCAAATCCAAATAGATTGGCAACCCTGACCACGGCAGCAAGGGTGAAATGTACCGTTCACTAAGTTATTTCATTCCACAAGGTTTGTACCGATCGAAATTTTGATTAGGTTAATCACAGCTGTTCATTTGGGTCAAGCGGTGTTTGTGAATTGATTCACTTCTACGTCCGATTGTTCGCTGCTCCCCCGCGATCATACCAGTGTGAGTTGTAGTAGCTAAAAATGCTGGACCAATATCAGTTATAATCGTCGTTATATTGTGTGCTTTAAATGGATGCTGCCGGCAAATCCGAGAAACGAACTGGTCAGGTTTCATCAACCAACTAGAAAAATACATAAATTTGCCAATACATTTTAAATTCTTTACAATTAGCTTCCTGCATTTATTAGACATTTTGCATCGAAATTTTTAATTTTTACTACATGAAAGTAGATTGGTCAAATGGATTGTAAATATGACATCACATTGTTCCACGAAGATGGACAATATAGCAATCATGGAAACTATCTGTGCCGAAAACAATATTTAATCAACCACCGCCTGTCCATTCGGAATGGTGGAACGCACTATGAAGTGGGCTGTAGAAGAGTCAGAATAAGCAAACAATCGTGCACTGACCATGAACAGACTGACGGGAGTGCATTGAACGGCGGGAAGTGACGACCATTGGGCACGATCTAGCGGGGAAAAACGATGCGTCAGCCGGAGCTTTTCCGAGTCCACATTAGTTTTTGATTCACCTTCGGCATGCGTCGAGGGAAACAAAAGATCCCGCAGTTTTTTTACGTGATCATCGTCCACATACCTCCCACTGCTCGTGGCTAGCTGTGCGTTTCGGCAACCGGACTGTTCCAAAAACTCAACTACGCTGTTCAGTTCCTCACTAAAAAGGAGTAAAAAGATCTTACGCGATGAATACATTCATGTACTTGTTTTGAGAAGGGACGCAATAGATTCAAATGATACATTTCATAATAAAAAAATCTTGCCGTTTGATTGGTTCAAACTGCGAAGGAAGCGATATAGTTAAAAGACACATCGAGAACAGTATCAACTACCCATTACGGTTATACCGAAAGCAAAGAAACTGAACTTATTTGGTATTTTGTCACTCACTTACATGTGACAGAAAGATCGGAACACAAGTCCTGGTCCAATGCTTAAGTAACTCAATTGAATCAAGCACGAATATAGGGCCGGCAACGTCTCAGTAAAATTTGGTCAGGGTATTCAAATTGTTTATCAATGACGTGCTTTAAACCATTCCGTAAATTCCGTGCGGCTCTTTCACAAATACCAAACATGGTACTTGACTCATTCGCCGATGAAAATCCATCTTTTAAAATTTTCAACTGAGCGAAAACAGGTTCAGGATCTGATCTTTTCTGGAGACGCAACTGCAAACTCGATTGATTTTAATTCAAAATTATACGGTGGAAACCAACTAATTGCTTTGTAGTGTAATGATGCCTGAATACGATACTAGGTTCACGGGATTATCAGTTGCAAATGAAAATTTATTTAACTTTAACTTACTTACTTAACTTTAATTTATTTAAAGCCAAATCAGATTGTGCGGCTCTGAAGTGGATCTGTCATCAGGAACCAATTCATGCACTCAATAAACAGATTATTCAGCCATAAAAATACTACGACGATTTCACTTGTTCAAAGCAAACCCAGTCACATTCTGTAAGTTATGAAGAAAGTATAATGATTGACAAACTGAATCAGCTGCAATCAAAAACCTCACCTGGTCATGTCAACCGTGATTGGGCCGCTAGACGGAGGGCAGTCATTGACCACTAGTTCCCACAGTTTCGGGTAACGTTTGTGATAATCATTCAGAAGTGCAAGTGTTCGTTTGGAAAATAGCCACTTCGAGAGAACGGGACAGAAGCGCGACCAGCCAAGCACCTGGAAGTTGGAGAATTCAGTCAGTTAGAGGAATAATTATTTTTAGAAAACGGATTGGAGGGCAAACATGCATGCATCTTCGGTGATCCCTAACGGTGCTCATACAAGTTAAACATGGGACAAGAAAGCGTAGAGAACGCTAGTTATTAGTCGAGTTGTGGGTCATAACCCAAACAAGGTGGAGCACTCAAGGTACCAATCTTAGGCCTAGATCATTACAGGTATATAGGTCATACATTCTGTGTGACAGGCTGAGAACCGATTGTGCTAAATACGCTAGAAAGCGTTATCAGCGCACATAACTCCTCACAATTCACCATAGGGATAGCAATTGATTACACATTGGCTTCCCGTGTGTAATGAGGAAGATGACTCCTTGCGGAAACGAACCTAGAGTGAAAACTTGGGACGATCAATATCCACAGTTCAATAGGTTCATTTTGTTGAAATAAGAACGAAATTTGTTCCATCGTCAGAGCTTGCAAAATCTGTCCAGCAGATACAATAGAGGGAGAGTTAAAATTTGTCCAACAAGCGCTGCAAGTAAATGACTTCGTAGAGGTTCTTAGAACAGTACATCCGATAAATCCCTAAAAAGGACAGGTTAACTATGTTCTAAACAAGACAGCTGTTCAAGGAAATTCCATTTTATTTTAAATTTTATTACACACATTTGTGTGATGGACAACAGACGGGCTGGAACCCCATAGTCACGAACTGATAGTAACCGGTAACCTAAGCCCGGAGAGTTGGAGTAGCGAACCCTATAAGGCACCCCTGGTATTGAACCGGACGACAGCAAAGCTGTCTACCACTAAAGTTGGGTGGTGGTTGCGGGGCTTGAATCTCGGACCATAGGTTCCAAAGCACGCCGGTGACAGCGACTAATCCACTACGTCACCAACACCATCATTTGAAGGCGATGCTCAACTGACAGACTAGCTTAGTCAATGATAAACGTCATGCAGTTCAACATTCACCACAGACGTCCTAAAAATAGTTTTCGCCACGTTCCCGATGGCTTGCATGCAAAAGAATGTCTAGATTGAACTCATCTATGGTGATTCGCCCATCCAAATGAGTCTGTGAAAATTTTTACGTACGTCGCACGGTAAAGCATCTGATTCAGCGTTGGCTGAGCTAGAGGAAGACTAGAACTATTTTCAGCGCCACCTTATATTAACCACCAGGCCACCCGAAACAGGATGGATTTCAAAAAGCCATTCGATGTGTTGCAAAAATACCGCTTAATCGGTTGAGGGTTGCTCGGGCTTGGAAACCAGTGGTGACTGAGGCAATGAACGTCCGTTGACTGAAGCCAACTGTGTTCACACACGATTGATTCGGGCACTCCAACTGTCCTGACCTTATGCGAACATAGGAGGATTAGATCAAAGCGTTATTAAACCTGGGGTCCAGCTCCAGTCAAGCCAAATAAACTTGATCCATTCGGCTACTCTTGTTGCTCCTGTGGATATTCACCATGACCTGACTCCGTTGAATATCGACAACACAGGAGACTCTGTAGGGGTTTCACTTGTTATCCTGTGCGAACGAGCTGCTTCCTTCTCCCCAATCTTGACCGAACGTTTCAATTGATTTGTTTACAGTAAAGCATTTCTAACTGTTAGTAGTAGCTTACTCCAGTAAGGAAGAAAAAACTTCGCAAACTTTCGTACCATAAACTGCATCTCGGTTGCTTTAAAGGTTTGCGAGACTCCTGTTCAATGCTATTCTTACTCTATTCAACGCCGAAATTTGTTGATTTATTTACGTTTTTGTACCACATTGCAGGGTTTTGACTTCCGTCTCGCCTGTACACCAAGGAAGTGTACACATTTTGCAATCTGGGAAGCTATATCTCACCTGGCAGACGCGTCACAGATGAAGTGTCGGCGCGCATACAGAAGGCTAGTTTGGTATTTGCCAACTTGAGACATTTGTGGTGCTGTCGCGACATTCGGCTGTCTGTGAAGGATCGAGTATATGTTGCAGTAGTTCGCTCAGTGCTGCTCTAAGATGCAGAGACTTGGTCACTACGGAAGGAGGATAAAAATAGCTTGTCCGTGTTCGAACACCGCTGTATAGGTAGCATTGCAAGAGTTTGGTGGAGTAAACGGACGGGCAACGCTAAGGTTAGGTGTGGAGTTTTAGGTAATCGAGGTCGTCTACTGGAGCAAGTAGTCGACCTCCATAAATTACGCTGGATGGGACATGTGCTACGCATGTCACCAGATAAATTGTCACGGTTAGCGATGTTTGCAGAGGCAGGTAGCGGTTGGAAAAGGTCAAGGGCGGTCAAACGAAGATCTGACATGAGACCATAAAAACTCTAACTAGGAGACTAGGTCACATAAGGCCCCGTTAGGCTCCTTAGCTGGGGACCCCGAGATGATGGTCACCGAGGGTTAGAGACATTGGGCGATGTAGCTGGGTGTCGCAAATAGTGGCGCTCATGCATCTACTCATTATTCTTGCAACATCAATCTAAAGAAATTCTCTTTTTTCCGTTTGAATTTACTCTCAATATTCCAATCTTTATTCTGCTGTTTTATACAAATGGCCGGTCAAGAGACAGCAACCACAACCGGTGCACTAAAGTGCATGGTTTATGGTTTTGAAAGCAGGAACTGAATTGTTTGCCGAGCTCAGCGATTTGTTTGCAAATTTTTCATTACCAACAGAGGTGACATCATCAGTGCTTGTGACGACGATGAGTACCGGTTAAATATCCAACATAACAGCCAAAATAAAACAGTTCTGTGTAGTCTGATGGAAGTGCTTTATCAGGCCTTGACCTCGGTTAGAGGAGCAACTGTGTTGGAAACCACCACCTAAGGTGAATTAGGGATTCTTCGCTTTCGCATGAGCTTATGTTATCCGTTTTGCTTTGTCTTGAACTATGGGTGATGGTGGTTCAGTGGTTTAATCGCTGTCAACGGCGTGCTTTGGACCCTGTGGTCCGAGCCCTGTCACCGCCAACTTTGGTGTTGGACNGTCCTATACCACACCCGACTAAGCTGGGCCTTGTTGTTCGCGACACCAGGTCCCGGGGTTTAATTTACCGGTTACCCTCACTGAACAGCAGGTTTTCTGGAGTATCGGGTTCCAACCCGTCTGCTATCCATCACACACCGGTGTAATAAAAAAATATCTGATGGGTGATGACTGTCCTACTTGGCAACAAGCCAGATTGGCAAAAATCAGTTTGCTATTGAGAAGAAATTACTTTACAAGCGAAAATGAACCACATCTCCAGTGCACGTTCAATGGGTCAATGCTCTACCATTAGCGGTAGGAGGTACGTGGCGATTGCAATCATACCTGTGACCTGGAGAGGCATTCTATAACCTATAGCTCTGATAGCTGGGGCAACCTCAGCAGAGCAACGTTAGATTCGGCACCCGAATAACACCGCATTTCGAGATGCGGTGAAGAGCGATTCAAAAAGCGTTGAGGTGGTCGGTATGAATCTTAGTTGAAATTCCAGATAAATCTCAACTTCCAGACTTGGCTGTGTAGATGAGATTACATTTTTTCAAATTGGTATCCATCAGAGACGCTTAACGGTGAAAAAACAGGTCTTATTGGAGTTAGAAGTCCATATTCCACAAATATTTCACTACTCTTGTTGATCCATAGTGTCCAAACTTTATAATCCACCTAATGAATCTTCACCATAGTAAAGAATCCTTATTCCCCTGGGAAACCGTTATACAGACTGAACTGAAATCCACTAACCTGAGCTCGGGACTTATTCCGGCGCAGATTGAATCCGACATTCCATACTTGTTGAGACTTTTTACCATTACGAGGTTTGTCATCCCGTTTCGTGTTCTCAGTTTTATCGACGGGATCCTCCGATGTGGAATTTTCCAGGCACTTAGAAACAGTGACCAGCACAGTTCCAGTTAAACGAGCGACGGCCACATAAGGTAGTCTCAGTTGGGCAGCCATAGCGGTCGTGGGTAGAGAGCACAAACGACTCGCATCCTGTGATGGTGTTCGGGGTATAAATAATCGAAAATCAAGTCAAGTCTATACAAAAGTAAGTTGTGATCGGTTGTGGGGAGAAAGGGTATCCGGAAAAAGGGAACAAATTTTAAATCACAGATCCAACTACAAGCGTGCACGAAACTGTTGACATGATTCATTGAAATAGACGTTTACTATTATTATAGAGCGACACAGATGACATTTTGCTAGTCGCAGCTTTATATCTTATTTCACACGGGATACGCATGTCTGACGACCGAAACCGGTCCTGTGCTTCCTGAGAAAATTTGTCAAGTCACTCACATACTACTGATTGCAAAAAATATTCCACAAAGACGTTTAAGTCATGTTTGTTGCTGTGAGTAGCATCTAAACCACCTATAAAATATCAAGCCACAGTATTCACTCTTGAATGGACTGGCTCTGAAAGGGTTCTCCAGGCACATTTACCCGGTGTTGCAAATGACGAAAATACATTATATATACACGCATGTGCGAATTTGTTATTTTTTCTTTACATACTCAAAATTACGTCAAGGGAAATGTGATATTTCTACATGGTTTGGTCTCATAAGCCGTGAAATTTCATTCAAACAACTGAACTGGGATCTCCCAGCTAGAATACAACCACTCGATCACTAGGCAACTGATCAGATTGCTGTCCATTTTTCCTATACATGATTTAGTACAACTTATCTTTGCAATCTTATAGCTTCTCAGTTCATGTTACGTTTACTCTGTGCACGACAAAAATTTATTAGGTAATTCATCATCGTAAAGCGAAATACAGTGAAGCGAACTTCGCAGATCGCTGCCAAACTCGTAATGCATACAAGGTTAGTGGTAAAACTTAAGGTGGACAGGGATTGCATCTATTTTGAGGGAGGAAGAAGAAGATGACCCAATATGGTCAACACACAGAGTACCCAATCGAACTATGCATACATACCGTTTTAAGCATTCTTACCTGATAAGAAACGACAACAAGAACACTGCTGTCGGTTCGCTGCCATATCCTTCAATGTCTCCAACCAACCAGTTGTGGAGTCTTTCGGACCCCAACCTGGAAAGCGAGAGACACCTACTCTAACTAATGGCTCCGTGCACTTCTTCATGCCTCGTCTCCACTTCCACACTCCACTCCACACCGATGATCGAAAAATTTTAGTTGACGGATATTTTCTACTCGTAAATTCAGGGTCTCACAACCATAAAGCAGGACTGAACGAACGCTAGCACAATGTACACGATCTTTCAGCTTCAGTAAAACGTCGCGCCTACGCCAAAAATGTTTCAGTCCTGCGTATGCTGCTCGAGCCTTGGAAATGCGGGCGATTATCTCCTTGGCTGCAATACCGTCATTGGTCACGCAAGTAAGTAATTGAAATAAATCCTCCATAACTTGCATATAAATATGAATTGATAGCAAATCGATGCATCACAAAAATCGAGCTTGTTCGCTAAACTGGATTTGTACAATTGAGGTTGCTAGACGCATAAACCGTTTCACGGGGGACACGAGCATTACTTTCGCTCACCTGGGTTTGCCGTCTCAGTTGTGAAATATCCACATCGCCTCCAACGTTAGGATAAAAACGCACAGAAACTGTGCTATGTTTCGTGCTTATTCCAACAACCTGTAAGCAATCGTGAAAAGGTGCGTGTAGGTAGATTTGAGAGTGATCAAATGGTTGACTGTGATAAAGGGGTAACGACCAAAGTGCTGTGCACATGTGTAAAAACAATGTGAAAACGAACAGGATTCAGCATTGCGTAAAACTCACCTCGCCTGTGTTTCCATGAGTTTGAAGAGCCAGTGAGATCACAACTTGACCTGGATGAAACAGGCTGGATAAGTTAAATGCAGGACAGCTATTTCGACTGAGCATGATGTGATTGAATGATGGCATGGGAATATCGTGTTCCAGAGATAAATCCAACAGATCAAGGGTCAAATCATCGCATAACCCATGAGCCGGTTCAGTCCTAAGAGCTGGCACAGAGGATCGCTTTTTAGATGCATGACCGGAATCAGAACGCATGGACGGGCGGAACCATGAACTGCCAGGCTCAGGAACAGTAAGGCATAATTGATCACCATTCGCCGCTTTCGATTCAGCGAATATGGGGAGTAGACGGAACAAGTTTTTACCGTTTGATGAAGGTCTTCGTCTGATTGTCCACCCATCTAATTTGCGAGATAATAACAATACCGGTTGGCAAAGCTCCGTGTCTGGTTTAGTGTCCTTGTTGAACACAATTGCCCAACGAGTGGACAAGTGCTTTTCTCGTTCTTCGATGCGGTCTCTGACCCAAGTGACCTCCCTATTGGTGGTATTATTCCCGTTGTTTTCGCCTGTCTCACAATCGGTCGGCTGCGCAAGTTTACGATAGCGCAGAGGGGGTGGCTGCGTTGAAAGGATCGGAGATATATTGAAATCCTCCAGCTCCCACCTAGAGGATAGGATCAAACTAGTTGGTATAGACAACGAGGAACTGACATGCTGGATATCGATTAGTACCATACGAAAAATTTGGAAGCGTTCACACAATTTGAGGCATAAGCAACAGATACACGATTCTGAAAATGCGGCAAGTGAATCACAAAAACTTGCAAGCGGAAGGACAACTGTAGTACGAAGACTGTTGTTGGCCTATCAAACACATTCAGAAAGAAATGGTGATCGTGTATTGATGAAAATGGTACGAGGCTTATTCTATTCATTTCCCAACAACCCAGGAAAAAGGGTTGAATTTACATGTAGGAAAACCGATGAGGTTGAAACACTCCAAATTCGATGAGAAAATGATAGGTATGTATAATTCATATAAGGAACTCAACCTCATACGTCAATGAGACAGCACTTTAGTTGGCTTGGTCTGGTGTGAACAGAACAAAAGGTCAAGTGGAG